CAAAAGGAACTTTTTAAATTTATATTAATGCTTAAGCTTATCCGCATCAGATATCAACGCTTAAAGCCTTCCAGATCGGTTTCTAAATTCTCCATCAAAACTTTGTTTTAGTTTTCCTCTTTTTTAAAACACCTCATAAGTCTTGTCTCAAACGTATAGCTTTTTATTTTTACGAAGCGACAGATCTTATGTACGACAAGGGACGGGAAACTAAGTTATTTATTCATTAGAAAGGAACTAACAACTACGGAGTACCCCCATAACGCATGCTCATAAATCAGAACAAATAAAGAAGTGATGTACAATCAGTTGTGCCCTTATGTTCACGAACAGAACAAAAAATTAACAAAACTGAAGAACTGGCTTGCTGCAATCTCACTACTAAAGCGGACGTACGACTAAGAGGTACAATAATTTCAAATTCCAATTAAATAAATTTAGAAAATAAATAAGCTGCCTATTCAGTACAATAGAGAACTGTTCCAAACAAATCACTCAGGAGAACGTCGAAAGGAAGGTTTTAGATAGTCGACAAATTTCTACTCCTGATTCAAGCTGAAATGAATCAAAATTATATCGATTTTAAGGTGATATAATCTTTTTGTAACATTTGACTCTTGATCTTGTCTATTTGGTTACTTTTGCCGCTCCTTCCAAAGCCCCTTTCAGGAAGCGTTCAGTTGCTTCAAGGTATTTGGTGATTACTTTCGCGCATGGTCGCGGAAGCCGGAGCGAACCAGCCGCGCTTCAGCCAAGTGACCTTTATTCGGGTCCGGCTTCTACGATCATGTTAAATAATCGAATAAAATCTTTTTAGAGAGACAGAATATTCTAAATACAGTAGGAAAGAAGAAATTTAAAAGTATACATTAAATCAAGTATCCCTTATAATCGGGTATTAAATGAATATACAGATATTTTAAAATCGCAAACACAAATTCTGGTCCTCTTTCTTTTCGAGATTCCCTGTAAAAGTTGCTCCGCCTGGGGTCTTTTCACATACAAAGACTTTAAGCATTCCATAAAATCAAAGAGAGGGAACGAAAAGATTAAAATTCAAAGATTTCCTGGCTTTTGTCAAAAAAATTCTGAAAATGAAATTCGAAAAAAAGTAACTTATTAACACATGCCATATTTCTGTGCCAAAAAAAAAAAAAATTAATACTTGAAAACGAAGGAAAAATGTTTTGAACGTCAAATTATTTGAAAACAAAAACTAATAAAATTTTAGACTGATGGTCACCTAGACCTTCAATTACGCAACGTTACTTTCTTATTCAACCTAAGCGTGACGTGACTTTCAAGAATGCATCAAGAAAGCCAAGCGACCAAAGGAAAGCAAGGGGAAATTGCGACAACAAAAAGTGAACAGGTTCTAAGTAAAAAAAAAAAAGTATGAAACAGAAGTAATCCGAGTGAATTTAAGGACTGAAATAAACGATGAAAGTAAAAACAACCAGACGATAAGGCAGAGTAGGCGCACCTAGGAATGAATAAAAATGAATAAATGCAAACTCTCCGAACACTAATAAACAGTTTGTACAAAGCACTTCAAAGTGACCCCAAATTCGGCAGTAGCCTCCAGACCTATAACTACATTAATGTTTGGAAGATAGACCTTTAGGCTCAAAATAGGTAATACCTAACAATCATATGTCAACTTCTTATTTTCTTTCACTCTTGGTCGTTTATAGAGATAACAGAACTCCGGCTAGGAGATACAAAAGTGAGGGTTCCGAGTGCGCAAAATACACTTAGTCATTAGAGGAGAAAAGTATAACAATAGCTTTAGTTTAAAAAAAAAGTTATTTGAGTTAATTTTTTTGCTGCTCAGACACATTTGCTGCTCAACAATCTTCTCTGTTAACCAACTTTAAGCCTTCCGGTCAGGGAATGACCTACAGTTTTTCTACAGTGTCTTTCGCAAGCGGTCGTGACATGCACGTTCTAACTTTGAAGACAACTGTTGTGAATTATAAATTTAAGAGTAGAAACGTCAAGTGAACTTCAAGAAATAGTTTAAATTGAAAAAATTACCAAAGATTAATTTTATTATACCTAACTGTAGAGTCTAATTAAGTAAGTAATTTTATTAAGCTGAAATGTAATTAAAGTAACTGATGAATTAGGAGAGAAATTTTGATAAGATTAATTAAAAACACGAACAGTTCAGCAGTATTAAGTATTTGTAGAGTAGAGGCCTGTCTAGAGAAGATATTCGGTAACAAAAATTTTTTTGCTTGTTGAGGAACTGGGATACTGTGGATACAGTGACGCTGTGTCAGTACTTTGTAAATTAGCAGTAACAATAGTTGACTGCAAATCTTCAAAATCAAGTTTTTATTGCTTCAAACTAGTACTAAACAAGTTCAAGACATCATAATTATAATTTCATTTCTGGTTTCTGAAACAGGTGTCGTAACAAATTCAAGATATATTTGGTGAACAGTGCATTTAATTTTAGAGCTGGAAGAGAGGCCCGAATTTGATAAAGGCAGAAAATATACTGCGAATAGAAGTGAAGTAATTTGTGGATATTTGCTGGTCAAAGGTGACGATGGAGGACAAGTAATGACTGGTTTCGACGAAAGAATACCATAAAAATAAATATGACTTATTGTGTAAACTAGAAAAGAAAAACTTTAGATTGCTCACTTCTATTTAATGATCAGAACCAGTCAATCAAAAAACAGCCCTTATCATAAGCAAACTTTTTTTTTGCTTTACTTTTTTCTCTATATTTTTTGGCAGATTATCGGTTCCAAATTCTCTTCATAATCAATATTGATTTTGCACACTAAAGAAATGTTAAATGTTTCTTCCGGTTATCTCACTGTAGTTTTTTTTTTCTTTCAAAAACTGTGTCAAAACTAGAAAACTTTTTATTGTTTTAGTAAGTTAACAATAATTTTTTTTATCTATTTTATTTTTTGCTTGAACTCACTGTTTTTTTTTTTTGTTTCTGTCTAAATAGTGTCAACATAAAAAGTGCTTCTAAAATAGTTGTAAAATTTTATTTGTTGCCATTTGTCGATAAATCAACATAAATACATAAGTTTACGTAAATACCTCAATATATGTAGATATGTAAATATATAAATATATAAATATTTATCTATTTATTTGTTTATTTATTCGCTAAAGTTGTTGTATAAATAGTAAAATGCTTGACATAGGTTTTTGATGCTAAAGAAAAAATGCAGACACTGTCTCAACGCTGAGTGATGAATGATAACCAAATAATCACTGTTTGATAGACTGAAGTTTCTTTCT